AGATCAAATTATTTAATGTACTGCTTTTGAGACTGCGCCAAAAAGTACAACTGGTGCAGAATGTTGTGGCTAAGTTCTTTTCTGGAGCATCTTATTCTACATGTATTGCATTTGTGTGAAAAAAATTTCTGCCCTGGTTGCCAGTCTATTAACTAGATAGCTTAATGATGTGGGTCTAGTATGTAGAGCTTTAAACAATTAGGAATCGCATTATTTTTTAAAAGCCTTGGATTAAATCGGCCTCACAAGAATCTAGGACCTTCCCTGGGCGCCCTGATGCCAGAACTACAAATGGCTATTTAGTGAAATGTAGATCACTACATTTTGTGATAGATCCCAGCCTGTGTAACAGATTTCGCTCTGCGGTATATCACACCTCAACACTGACTTCATTAAAGTGTATTTTAAAAACCTGCATTTTTAGGTTAGCCTTTCCCAGCTTCCTCCTAAAACTTGTATGAAAATAGAGTATCTTTCTTTGGCTTTACCTTCTTATTGTTTTTATATGCTGTTTTTGTGATTACTGCAAACTGTTTTGGATTTTCTGTAACTATATACAAATATTTTCAATAACAGAAAAAAGCATCCTGGAAGGAAAATCTGGTTGGGTAGCATCCACAGTAGGACAATCCACACTGCAGTACTTAGTACTGATTTCACTTATTATTAATTAATATTAGAAGGAACTGGACAGCCATTTGTCCAAAATGGTATAGGGTTACCTGCCTGAGCAGGGGATTGGACTTGATGACCTCCAAGATCCCTTCCAACTTTATTACTACTACTACTACTTCTATTACTACTTCTACTACTACTACTACTACTACCCCAAGAAGCTTCTTCAGCTCTGACTGGATGGTGGGGAATGGAAAAATTTATACTTCTGCAGACAGCTGTTCATTTTCATTCTTTTAGTAAGTCATTAAAGCTACCTGGAGGCTTATCTGTATCTTCAGGGTCACCTGAGTAGTGCAAATGGATGTGGAGCCTTCTTGGAACTGTTGAAAGGACTGTGTTGTAGACTGGAGATAGATGATGTCATATCCCTTCCCCTCTGTTGAGAGAGGGCTGTTCAGTTTTGACATAGATGGTCTCTTTGACCCCTTTTATACCACTGTGGACCTTAAGTGGAAGGTTTGGGAATATCTAGAGCAGTGTTGGTGAACCTTTTAGAGACTGAGTGCCCCAAACCTGCCCCGCTCTGCCCCTGCTCCACCCTGCCCCCCCCCTTCATCCTGCTCACCCGCAGGGCCACCCACTACCTCCATGGCCTGCCGCAGATCGCCCAGGTGGCCCTGCAGCACTATGGCAGCCACGCCCTCCACCTGCGCCCGGCAGCATCGCCGCCCTGAGTCCCTTGGGATTGGGCGGCATATAAATTTTAGAAATAAATAAATAAATAAATCATCTGCGCGTGATGGGGTGCGAGGGTGGAATTTTGTCCCGGCTGCCATGGCCTTGGTTGTGCTGCTCCATGCAGGCCGCGCCCAGGGGCAACTCTCCTCTGGGGGGGGGCTGCTGGTGAGGAGAGGGCCGCAGGGGAGGCGGGGCTTGGGCGATGATGCACATGCCCACAGAAGAGGGCTCTGAGTGCCGCCTCTGGCATACATGCCATAGGTTCGCTACCACTGATCTAGAGTTTTGGGAATCTAACAAGAATTTTACTGCCAATAAACCACTGTCTCACATCACATTGTGCTTCTTGTTTAGAAGCAAATGAACAAGTGTGAAACACAGAATGTTGCATGCAAGCAGTTTCCAAGATCAAGAAAGTCTCATATTGCCAGTTGATTTAGAATGAATGTTGAGTTACATAAGTGTTATAAGGGCAGCTGTCAAAGGGAGACAATAAATGTTGACTTGGTAGCAGGACTTGATCAAAAGAATTTCCTATGTCCCAGAGTTGTTTCTGTTCCTTTTCTGCCCTGTACTTGTCAACTGTGGGTGTAGAGGAAGAACCAACCCTACAACTGGAGGGCTTTGATGCCACTGAGCCGTGAAGTGTGCTTCCTTTTTGGATTTGCAAGACTCTTGCTAGGCCAGCTGTCCAAGCAGCTGAGTGTAAAACACACCCTTGGCCGTAAGCAGTTTGAGGGTTGCAGCCTGGGTGAGTGGATAGAAATGCTGTGCTTGACAATCTTACATGAGCGCCTTCTTCATACTGTGGTGATCTCTGAAAATTGAGCCAAGGGGAATTTGCTAGTGTGAGCATACCGGACAAGAGTGCATGGAAAATCCCATTCAGGTGAACTCCTTTTATGGCGCCAAACAAGCGAGAGATCCTGTTTCCATTCCTCCCCTTCTGAGTCTTTCCTTACTGCCCAAGGAAAGCCAAGTTGTAGTTGGAAAGAGTGTTTTCTTCGGGCAGATTTAGGATAATTTTTAATTTGGCCTAGAAAATAAGTCTGTTTAAATATGTTCTTACATTGCCCTGCATTTTCATGGATATTAGAGAATTCTGTAGTAAACATGAATAAAGTCAATGATCAGTTAACAATTTAAAACCAGCAGAATAAGAGGGAGAAATTGCTTTGAAAATCAATAAAGGAGAATATTTGTAGCTCCTCTCTGAGCTTGGTTGTTTTCTTGCAGACATTTCATTACCCAAACTAGGTAACATCATCAGTGCTAGTGCAGGCTATTAGCACGGGGGGGGGGGTTTAACCTAGTTTGAGTAATGATACATCTACAAGAAAACAGCCAAGCTCAGGTTGCTTTGAATATGTATGGGTGAATATATAAGTATCAGTGTTCCCACAAAGATTAGGAGGTCAGTGCCATTTCTATTCTCTCTCAGGGGAGAATCCCAAAGCTGGGGCACCGTAGATGACCAGGCGGAGCCCGAGGGCAGGGTCAAATGCATCAACAGTCTGGAGTCCCTATACCCCCCCCCCCAAGAAAACTACTGTAAGTCAAGCCCCTCCTTGAATTCCGTTGACTTTACTGGCACCAATTTGACTTGACCATTAGTAGATCAGATTCTTGGATATAGGTAGTATGGAATAAACGCGTAGTGTTTTTGAGCTCTATCTTGGTTCCTGATTTCTTGTGCCTGACAGGCCCCATCACAGAGGAGTTACTCCATCAAAAATTCTTCCCTAACAAGCAACTGTCATTACATATAATCTTTTCTTCTGATACACTGTCCTTATCCTTGCCAACTGATCTCTACATTTTATTATTCAGGGTGCACAATTTCCTGCCACTTTTGGCTAGGAAATCAATACAGTAGGTATACTAAGCTTCCATTAGACTTAATTCACCGAAAATAGTTGGGAGGCAACAGTTCCTGTCTTTGCCTACTAAAGGGATATCATTACATTACAGCTGGACACTGTGGTCCTGAACACAATGTCAAAGATAAAATCATTCCTGCCCACAAAAAAGTTCTCACCTCTGCCTTGTAAGATGTGGGGACTTTTTCTCTAGTAACTCTAGTAAGAAGACAGAATGACCCTATTTAAAACACATGGTCAAATTGTATTGATTGAATATATTTAAAGAAAAAGTACAGTAGCTCTCAAGGATTAAGACCTAGCGCAGATGATATCAGTCCTTTGAGGTAGACCATGATAAGAAATCAACATCACAAGGAGTACTAGAACTCTGTTTTATTGATTATTTATTGATACTAATGCTGGCTGGGGAATTCTGGGAGTTGAAGTCAGCACATCTTCAAGTCGCCACGGTTGAGAAACACTGATGTAGGCAAAAACAACAGAATCTTGAAATCTGTTGTCCCCTCTGTCTCATACAAAAGAGTATCAAGGAGGGACAATCTTGAGTTTCTCTTCACATTGTTTTCCTGGGTTAAATTCATTTTCCTAGCAGCTGCCACCTACCTCCATACTCCTTTCCAGATTAAGATCTGATCCTGCACTTGTTTCTGGGAAATGGGATGTGTTGTATTCTTCCTATGGGAAAATAGCATGAGGTATGGTGTATAGGAACAACAGAGAAAAATTCCAACATTTTATAAATGTTAGTATATTTTAGAGGTTCATGTTCTTGCAGAGTTCTTGCACCAGTTCTGCCACAATGGATTATGGAATTTCTCATTCAAGCTAAAAAGCACAAAAGGGTGGAAATTATTGAACTAGAATAACATTTAGTGAATGCTGTCCCCTTTTCCTTAGGCCTTAACCTCTGGCCTAGTTAACTGATACGCTGATTTGACTTAACTGGCAATCTCCAGCATTAAGAAACATAATTATTTTGGGCATGAGAACAGAAAAACAATTAAGTGAGCAATTGTAACTGTTATAAACAATTATTAATGGCTACAATTTACTGCTATGATATTGAATAACATGGCAATATTGCTTCCTTTTTACACCGGATAAATATTTTGCCTTTATTTGTACCTCTTTGGAGACATCCTATTAAGAAAATCTCCCTGTTTGCCAGAATAAAAGAATTGCTTGTGTCTTCTGGGGCTCTTTGGCTCCAATCTCTTCAACCTTTTGTGCCTCGGACTTGCAGTTTACATTTCTTTTGTTTTAAAAAGTATATTATTCAAAGAACTTGACATGAAATTCCATTTGTGTGTATACTCTACCAGGAAGTGTATCATCTGAGCAGTCAGGTTCACTTTATTTATAACGGGCTTTTTTGTTTTTATTAAACCCTTTTACTTTAGCTTTCTTTGACTCTTAGCTTGCCTGGCTTTAATTATTAAAATAGAAAGGGAAAGTCATTGCATTCTGCTGATCCACATCAAAATTCTTTTTATTTTTGAAAGAAAGAAGTTGATAATACAACACAGTGCAGAGATATGAAAATTAAATTTATTAACTTCTATTTCCCACTGGATACCATGTTTTTAATTAAAAGCATTTGGAATTACTGAAAAGCACAAGGGAAGTGATGTGTTTGAATAATGGCACAGACTAGTATGACATTTGCATTCTTTTTAACTGCTTTGGTATGCTTCAGAGCAAACTGTTAGTTTTTGTCATTAGGTTTTTTTAAAATCTCTTTCTATCCATTTGGCCTTTCAGGCTTCCAAAGCAAAGGTCAGCATCCCTCTCTCAGCTATTATTGAAGTGCGCACAACTATGCCATTGGAGATGCCAGACAAGGATAACACCTTTGTGCTGAAGGTAAGACAGCATGGCCTGAAAAACATCCCGGATGTGCGTGTTCCATGTATTCTAAATGACACATTCTACAAACTAATACTAAGAGCATCGTGCAGATCCTGGTTGACTTAGGTGTGATGGGATTAAAACATATTGTGCAAAAGCTTCATAAATTGCAATAATGTTACTGTAGATCAAGTGATTCACATAGGAAATGCTATGGTGGCTGATTTTCAGTTGTGGGCTTTTCATCTTCCTGTAGAGTGGATTGATAACCACCAAGATTTGGACAGAGTCGACTTACAATTATTCATTTAGTGACCATTAACAATTACAATAGCACTGAAAAATGTGACCTATAACTAGTGACTTATAACTTGCCTTTACGACTGTCACAGTATCCCCATGGTCACATGATCAACATTTGGGTACTTAGCAACCGACATGTATTTATTACATTTGCAGCATCCTAATAATAATAATAAAGTTGGAAGGGACTTTGGAGGTCATCTAGTCCAACCCCCTGCTCAGGCAGGAAACCCTATACCATTTCAGACAAATGGCTGTCCAGTCTCTTCTTAAAAACTTCCAGTGTTGGAGCATTCATCACTTCTGGAGGCAGGTTGTTCCACTGGTTAATTGTTCTAGTGGAACAACCTGCCTCCAGAAGTGGTGAATGCTCCAACACTGGAAGTTTTTAAGAAGAGACTGGACAGCCATTCCTAGGGTCACATGATCACTATTTATGACCTTCCCAGATAGCTTCCAATAAGCAAAGTCAATGGGGGAAGCTGGATTTGCTTAACGACCACGTGATTCATTCAACAACTGCAGTGATTCGCTTAACAGCCATGGCAAAAAGGGTTGTAAGATTGGGCAAAACTCACTTAACAATAGATTTCCTTAGCCAGGGAAATTCTGGTCCCAATTGTGGTCATAAGTCAAGGGCGTTCTGAATATGCAATTCCAGCAAACCAAAGGGCTGCAAAACAGAGGAAGAAATGAGAGAATGTTTAGTTTTGAGTCTATAAGTTCTCCAGCACTGGAGATGGATAATCCACTAATGGGTTAACTTAATCCTCCTGCCCAATCAGATCAAGTCAGCCAAACTTGCCATGCCTGTCCTGGGCCTGATTGCCCCAGTTTTCGACTTGATCTTGTCCTGAACAGACGTGCAGGTTTGGCTCACAGGCAGGTAGATATCATTAGTGGATTATCCATGTTATTATCCATTTTATTATTAGACTAAGAACTCCCTTCCTTCTGAGTCCTCTGAGCAGCATTGGGACCAACGCTCCTCTAGAGGACCCATTGTCACTAATTCCCTTTGGGAATCAGCCTTCCAAATGGAGGACTCTATGGGGCTCTAAATCCCCCCCCTCCTCGTCAGGGAAGGGAGGCTTTCTTTCCCTTCTTCACTCCTTCCCCTCCCCGGAGGGGATGATCGGCCTGAGTCGCGGTCGCCATTTTGGCGACTACGTGGCCTCCCAAAACCTTGCTGATTGCAAGGGAGGGTGGGGGGTGGGGAAAAAAAGGACCTTTCCACCTATCTCTCCAGTTCTTCAATTCAATTAAAAGCTTCTTTTCAGACTTTGGGTGCCTTTCCTCAGCGAAGGCCTAGATCGAGACAGGGGCCCCTGCAGCCTGCGGCTGCCACCTTGGAGGGTTCGGCCTAGCCAAGACCAAATAAGGCCTCACGGAGGCCTCCTCGCCAAGGGCCTTCACTGATTTTAACAGCCAAGGTTACCGAGGGGGGGGGAATCCTCTCAGCTCATCCTTGGAATCTCCCCTCGTAGTAATTGGAATTTATCCTTCTATCCTTGCATAGGCCCAAGAGTTCTCTATTAGGCCTCCTGGTGTCTCAAACCCTGGTCACCTTGGGCTTGCTAACCACTACAGTAGTCCTAGTCTCTGACACTGTGCTGTTGCCACCTTTTATTTTGCTGGCCTAGCAACATAGCAAGCCCCACTAGCAGGCCGCAGTCCACTTCAGGTGGAAGCAAGAGCGACTGCAAGTAGAACCAGAGCTTTTTGAATACCACTGGTTCAGTGACCAGGGGGGGTGGTAGGGCAACCTAATCCCAGCCTTAGCCCTACAACCTTATCAGCCAATTGATCCCTTTCCCAGGTGCACCCTCTAGCGCACCTGAAGATTTCATACCAGCATGGAGGATAACACGGCATCCCAGGCCAGGGCCACCTCTCCTTCCTCCTCAGTCCAGAAAAGTCACAGATCTCCTTCCCAAGAGGCTGCTGGTGGGATCGCAGCCAAGGTCAAGCCCAAGGCTGCTGCTGGGGGAAAAACCTCCAAATTGGCTGAAAAACAGGCCAGCAGGAGACACCAGGCATTGGAAAAAGAGTTTGCAAAGGCTCAAAAACAGGCCAGGGCTGAGACTGCTCAGGCAGAGCCCACCTTTTCTGATCTTCCTCTAGGTCCCTCTTCCTCTCCTCAGGAGGTCTGGGCACCGGCAGAGCCTTCCACTTCTTATGACCAGGCCGAGGAGGTATCTGAGGCACAGGCCTTCAGGTCCCCCTATACCCCATGGGTCCCGCAGACCCCAAAGGCCACCTTTACACCCACAGCCGCGGGGCTCAGAGAGGAGGAACTCACCCTCTCATCCCTGGACGACAGGATCCAGACCTTGGTGGCTCAGGTTGTGGAGCGGGCCCTTACGGTCAGAACTCCATTGGTGCCCAGAGCGGAATCCGTGATTTCCATTCCCCTCTCGCGTCCGGTACATCACAGTCCTCGTGACCCTCCTTCTCCCTCCCATTCTTCTTTAAGCAGGGTCTCAGTGACCCTGGAGCAGGATCAGGCGCTCGACGCCTCATGGTCAGCGGAGGAGGAACCGGTCCCGGATCAGCCTCCGTTCGGAGGGCTATTTAATCCATCGCTTTTTCTTCCTCTGCTTCGCAAGGTTAGCTCGGTGCCACACGGAGGACCCAGCCGGCCCGCCCCAACAGCTCCCACAACAGATCCAGAGGCGGACCCCGTCTTCATTGAACTGGTGGTCACCCAACATCATGTTCCATGTCCAGCCTTGTTCCTCAAAGCAGTTAAGAAACAATGGGCTTCCCCGGGTACCTTCCCCCTTCCAGGTGATAATGACAGGAATTAGAGGAGGCGCTGAATGTATCCACAGTGGATGAGCCCCTGGCTCACCTGTTCTCCCCCTCAGCTATTTCGGGGGATATGGCCCTAAAATCTGAGGAACGCAAAGGGGAAATGACCTTTAGAAGGTCACACAAGGCGGCGGCGTGGTCCATCAGGGCATCCACATCAGCTTCCTTCTTCACCAGATCCGCCCTCATCTGGCTGCGCCAATCGCAGGCCAGGATCCCTGCGGACGATGCCCGCACACATCAGGACCTGAGCAAGCTAGTGGCCGCGACAGAATACACTTCTGATGCGACCTTGCACACCGCTCGGTTTTCTTCCAGATCCTTGGCATCCAATGTGATAGCCCGCCGCATGCTATGGCTAAGACACTGGCAGGCAGACGCCAAGGCCAAGTGGCGTCTGGCAGCAGCCCCTTACCAGGGCGGCAAATTATTTGGGGATGTCTTAGCCCCATACCTGTCAGAGAACAAGGATAAAAAGAAGATCCTGGCTCATATCACTAAGCGATCCGATAGGCGTCCTACCCCTTACAATCGCAGATAGACCTTCCGGCCTGCTTCTACCCCAGAAGCCATGCAACCTTCTCGGCCTTCACGCCCAGACAGGACCGTCCAGCTGACAGACCAGCCACATGGCCTAGGCAGCAATTCTAGTCCAAACAGCCCTTTCGAGGCAGGGGTCGCCCCTTCCGTAAGAAGTGACCCCCCCAGTGGTGCCTCCCATAGGGGGAAGGCTCTCCCTCTTCGCCACTCAGTGGGAGGCCACCACCACAGACGCCTGGGTCCTGGACACCATCCGCCACGGCCTGTCCTGGAATTCATATCCAATCCACCAAAAAGGTTCATTGCTTGTCCCCAATCAAAGAAGCCCCTAAGGAGAGGTCTCATGCAGGAGGCCATTCGTCACTTACTAGACATCAGAGCCATAGAACCGGTACTTGCGGACCAACGGGGGCATGGATTCTACTCCATCCTCTTCGTAGTCCCCAAAGCCTCGGAAGGATGGAGGGCAATCTTAGACCTAAAACTCCTGAACCTTTATTTGGCATACCGAAGGTTCAAAATGCAGACATTTCAGTCCATCCTAGGCAGCATCTGAAAGGGGGACTTTCTCACTTCAGTGGACCTTACAGAGGCATACCTCCACATTCCCATCAGCCCCAGCCACCGCCGGTTTCTCAGGTTCAACTATATGGGACATCATTACCAGTACAGGGCACTGCCATTCAGCCTGTCGTTGGCGCCAAGGGTCTTTTCCAAGGTCCTGGCAGTTCTGGCAGCACCCCTGAGATTGATGCCGGTTCAGGTGCAATGCTACCTGGACGACATCTTAATACAATCGTCCTCCCCGCAGAGGGCTCTGACAGGCCTGAGACTGGTGATCGGAGTCTTGCAGAGCCATGGGTTTTCAGTCAATTTCAAGAAAAGCCAGACAGTCCCATCGACCAGATTGCTCCACTTAGGAGCTGTCATAGACACGGTAGAATGTCAGGTTTATCTGTCTCAGGAACACAGGAGCAGTATACGGGATCTAGTTCTCAAGGTCTGCAGAGAGAAGACTCTGTCCCCGTCCGGGCTCTCCAAGCTCCTGAGAAAGATGATATTGTGCATCTCGATCGTCCCCTGGGCCAGATTACACTCGCGGCCCATCCAGTGGTGTCTGCTCCCCTATCAGAAGCAGGGAACAAGCACTTCCACCCCAAGAGGTAAGGATTCCACCACACATCTTACGCTCCCTCAGATGGTGGCTATCTCCAGCCATGACCAGAGGGCCTCTTTTCAAGGAGCCCAGGCGGCTCACGGTCATGACGGACGCCAGTCTGTTCGGCTGGGGAGCACACTTTCAGCCTCAATGGGTCCAAGGGAGGTGGTGTCGGGCGGACCTGAGACACAGAATCAAC